TAACCAAATTCTGCCCAAGGACACGAACTTCTCTATTTATAAATATTCAACATAAAAATAAACACACTGTATACTATTAACAACAAATTTAACGGGACTCGCGAGCGAGAGAAAATACATCTGATCGATTTGACTATTCCAAGACACCTGTATCCTTTTTGGCGACAAAACAAAAACATCGATAGCTGATATTCCCTTTCCACTTTCTCTCGTTTCGTAAAGCTTGGAATAAATTGCTTTCAATTTCAAACGTCACTTCGTATCACATCTGCCGTATATATTTGAATATCGTACACTATCGCGATACCATATCTGGCCTGTAATATAAAAGAAACAATTAAAATTAGCAACAATGAAATAAAACGTTCTTTTGACAAATTCTAAAGAACATATTGCTTAAAATTTTCAATAAGTCATTACCACATATTGGTAAATTGACATTTTCCATGTTTCACTTTCTTATAATTTACCACATGTCCAGCTGGACAAATTGTAAAGTATAAATTAAATAATAAAAAAAAAACTTTCCTATCGTTCTTCGATGTGTGCGATATGTAAAACAAAAATTATACTTTTTAGGCTCGTTCAGAAACTCGTTTAGAGGTAGTTGCGACGAGGAAACATCGACAAATGCTGTAAACGGAAAAAGAATAGGGTTGTTCGTTCAACGTACGAGAAACGCTAATACAATTTTCGTAAGAATGTTCACTGTTTGTTTTGCTGGTCGATGATTAAGAAGATTCTGTTCCACATTCTAGTATTTCGAAAGGGTCGTCGCCGCCGAAAGATCCCACGACCACCCGAACGAGGCCCGCATCTTGACATCCGCCGGTACACCATTTAGCAATAATTTACTCGACGTCGCGTCGTCACGGAACACCATCGAAAAATTCAGAATAGCGTGGTCGTTGACACCGGGGATCGAGCTTTCGATCCCACGGGTATATTGTTGTCCAATGACACGTCTGTATTTACACGTCGTATGCCAAAATTGCATGTCCCGACAGGGTAAATACGCCCCTATGAATCTCGAAATTCAGGGATAATATCGATAAGTAGATTTTCTCTTTTTATCGTCGTTCCTACAATCTCATTCCTATCCTTATAGATACTTTTCATTGGATAAACGTTCCATCGAATAAGACCGTGTTTGCCTCTTGGTTTCATACGTCAAATTTGCATCCCCTCCAAAGCGATCTTTTTATACACAATTTGAATATTTTTCTATTTAACGCGTTATACAGATATACATATGTAGATATACATTGACAAATTATAATATTTTCGATAATTACAATAGTATTCTTCGTAGATAAACAGAATTTTCTTCGGCTATCTTCGATGAAACGAAACTGTAGAGGTTTAGTCGTGTTCGACTCGCGTCGGGGTTACCAATGTGGTAAATGTTGCGTGGTTTCTTGTGTTTAAATAACGAGATACTTGATAAGCAAAACCGTCGAGTATATTTTTAAACGATTATTAAATAAGTACAGACGATATTCGCAAAGACGCTCGTATTAACCGATTCGCTAAGACGTAAGTCGTAAAATAGGATCGCTAATTACTCGTTAATTAGATGGCTGATAACTGGTTGATCGACAACTGACTGTAATTCCATATGTACTGTCGCTCGCGATCGCGTCCGTTTATTTATACCGGTCGGGGGAGAGTCGGAAAATGCAAATTCGTTTTCATTCGACGGTTGCATGTAGCGGCGAAGTCGTTTTGCCCGCAGTTTATTTCTTCTTACGTTACTTGTAACCTAACGGTCTTGATACTCCGAGGCAAAACAACAACGTGATTCGAATTGTCCTCTGACTCATGTGCAGCTACAAAACTATCTTTATAGAAGCGTCGCGTTATTAAAAAATGTATATGTAACAAGCATATGTACAGGGTGGTTGGTAACTGGTGGTACAAGAGGAAAGGAGGTGATTCTACGCGAAAAAAGAAGTCGAAAATATAGAATAAAAATTTAAAAATTTTAAAAATTTAAAAATTTCAAAATTTTTAAAATTTCAAAATTTCAAAATTTCAAAATTTCAAAATTTCAAAATTTCAAAATTTCAAAATTTCAAAATTTCAAAATTTCAAAATTTCAAAATTTCAAAATTTCAAAATTTCAAAATTTCAAAATTTCAAAATTTCAAAATTTCAAAATTTCAAAATTTCAAAATTTCAAAATTTCAAAATTTCAAAATTTCAAAATTTCAAAATTTCAAAATTTCAAAATTTCAAAATTTCAAAATTTCAAAATTTCAAAATTTCAAAATTTCAAAATTTCAAAATTTCAAAATTTCAAAATTTCAAAATTTCAAAATTTCAAAATTTCAAAATTTCAAAATTTCAAAATTTCAAAATTTCAAAATTTCAAAATTTCAAAATTTCAAAATTTTAAAATTTTAAAATTTTGAAATTTTTAAAATTTTAAAAATAACGTCAATCGAGACAACGATCTACAGTGAGATCCGTTACAACGAGACGCGATAAAGTGCACGCGTACCGATCGAAAATTCAAAGTCGATTTTCTCGAAAACAAAGCCTCGAACGAAAAATTTCTATTCTATATTTTCGACTTGTTTTTTCGCGTAGAATCACCCCCTTTCCGCTTGTACCGCCAGTTACCAACCACCCTGTATAATATAGTGCGTAACTAAAATATATGAAATTCGTTTATATTGTTAATAACGTCGCGTATTTCCTAACTAGATTCCAACGTTTTTCAAAGAGGTGCAAAAACGAAGGTCACGCGATGATATAATAATAGAAGGATTAGGCGGTAGATGTTAAGAGGATCAATATTCTCCGTTCGACTGTGTTATTCAATACCATCAAAAGATTTTTTTCCCCTTCTTCCTTCTTTTCCTTCCCTTTTTTAAAGAGTATCAAACCCTTTGTGTCGGTGGAAAAATCACATTTATCTCGTTGCACAATTCGGGCTTCAAAAAAAATTTCCAAGTTCGAAATTCATCAATCGCGGCTCACAAATTCCGAAGGTATTCCCAGGGTTGACACCATTTTCTTTTAGAAGACAAATAAGAAACAGGCGTTATTCAGGTAAAGGACGTTGACAAATCAGTTGTCCGACGCGTAGTTAAATGGAACACCTGAAAAATTGGGGGATTAGTAACTCCCACGAGAATTTCGAGCGATTTCTTATGTCCTTTCAAACTTCTTTTATCGTCGCCGCATAGCGTTTTATCTTACGGTTAGAATAATCGATAGCAATTGTAATTTAACATCGCAATAACGTAATCATTTTTTTTCATCCAGACACAACGCAAATTCGATAGGAAAAAGTTTCACGGAGAATTCGATATAAATCGGTACAAGAACCGCGTCATACGCGTGTAAGTACCTGCACGTTTGTTCGCAGGATCCTTCTTTTCGAGGAAGATAAGTTTGTAAATTTATCACGCGCGTGTACCAGCTAGGTTCTTAATTAAACAACTTCGAACTCTACTTCCCCGAAAATAAGGAAAATTGGACAAATTTTGTTTGACATATTTTTCTTCTTTTTTTTATTTAATATTTCACATTCACAATTCGTCCAATTTGGACATTTTGTAGAATTTGTTTGACATATTTCGCGTATTTTCGCGTGTAGAACGACGTTGATCATTTAGTCGTACCTAGTGGTTAATCAGTGAAGGTTAAAGTATACCTGCCTGATAAATTTCCAAGCTCGATCTTCTCGAAACCGAAGCATCGTATGACGAAAGTCTACCGCAAATCTTCGACTTGTTCTTTTCGCGAAGAATCGCCCTATCGCCGATCGCTGGCACGTTCTGTACGCGTCGAAAGAGACAACCATCGAAATTATAATTTTTCCGCAATTTATTTTACTTTTTCGATGAACAGAGAAACTGCCGACGAGATTCGCTCGATAATAAACTTTCACACGGTATTTACGAAGTAAGATACTTTTTTGTCGCAAGTACGAGATCGAGCGGAAAATGCGAAAGTAAGAGGAACGCACAGTTTCTACTGTAACGTAATTTCCGAACCGATTCGGAACTAATCGCGGCCAGCTACCGGAATTTTCTGCCACTGACGACCGAATAACCTGAATACTGCACGGGCGTCTAGTTTCTCTATTATGTCTTATTTTTACCCTCGGCGCTGCATCCTCGCTCCAACTTTCTCATACCTCGTGCGGAGAACCGAAAATCGACTACCGAATTTTTCCAATTCGCCTTTCCACTATGATTTACGAATCCCCGGACTCTCGGTCGACTACGTACATTTTTCAGGTCAATGCAAACAAGAAAGGTAGACAGGTCGTTGGCCAACTAGACTAAAGGAAGAAGAGACTAAAAGGGAGAAACAGTGACGAATGTTGCAAAAAGACCTCTCTCGTGCAGATGAATTCCATCTGTTCCATCGCGGATTTCTCTTCCTTGCCCGATAGTGTAGTTTCTGCTCGAGGCAAAGGCCACCCCATCGAGGCTTGCCACAACAATTTCTCTGTTCACGATGTAGGTTACCAAGACGATGCTTTCAGAGACCTTTTAGCCTAGTGCTTTACTGCCCTACAATAAATCAATTGCTACCGGCTGACCGCCAAGGTCGCACGCTCGCCCCCCAAGAATCTTTTTGAAAGCACATCCAGTGTGTCCAATGGATGGTGCAATTTTTTCTTCGCTGCATCTCGAGACGACTTTACAACTTGGATCGACACTGGCGATTAGCTTCTTCGTTAATCGAGATTTACTATTTCAACCCTTTTAATCGTTGATCGAAGAAACGCGTCATCTTTCAAATTGGTATCTCACTTATTGGGGGTAGCCATCCACATGTTATATTATTATACCACCAAGCTATAATATTTTACCAAATGTCCTACTGGACAAATTGTAAAATTCAAATAAATAAATAAAAAAAAAAAATCTTTCAAATGGTTCTATGGGAAACCAGCAACGAGGTGCGATGCGGTATATCATAGATATTCCGGTTAAAAGCGTCGAGGGATTTCGTTTCTACGATATAACGTACGCGTCTATGTTTTAATATCGTATATTTAATTGTTCTGATACAAATCTCATATACAATGATATTCTCCTGGAGATTACAATTCTTCCATATATCGCAACGTTTATGATAAACTCGATAAACTCGACTTCGAGCAGCGTTATATATCGAAAGTTCCTCGCTTTACTTTTGGTAGAGAAGATATATCCCAGGATCGAAGGAACGAAAAAAATTATTAATTTAGTAAGAATGTCGGAATTTTATAGCATGTTTTATTCTTATGTACGGCAGTTGTTGGCAAGGATACTCCAACTCTCCTAGAAATTATTCCCTGTCTTTCATTTCTCTATTATACGAAACATTTTGAAATCTCGCTAGCACTGTAACTACCCGAGACTATCGCGATTACGCATATTGGCAAAGCTCGAGACGAATCTGTAAACGTAAATAGAAGTTACGAGATATCAAATACGATAGCAAAGCAGGTACTCGAACAGTCTGTCATTCGCTATCTTAATAAGCTACAATACATAGCGAGAGTATCTGTACATCGTTCAATGTACCTTTCGGATTTCTATCCACGCTGTATATTAATTTTTCGCAAAGCGTATGTTCGCAACAAACGCGAGACACGCGTCTCAGTGCGGACAGAATTTCAAAATGTTTTCTATAATGCACGTGATATTATATTCGTATAAAAGGTTGCGCGATAAATAGTCGAATACTTTCGCGAGACACCGTATTTGTAGCCACGTTTTACAAGATACGATGGCAATATATATATAGGCATAATAACGTTACAAAATAATGCCGAATACGATCGAGAATAAATAATCTTCCTTTATCTTAATAACTAAACCAAATTGTTTTAGTCGAAGTAACCTCTTTCGTTCATAATTGGGATCATTTTATGCGCTAGTTTCACCGCGTCTGGGTTTCTGAAAACGTCCATTTTAGTTTCGCCTAACAACTTGGTCAATAATTCCTCGAAATCTTCGGTATCCTCTTTACTTCCCATCATTCGTAAATAAAGCACGACTCCAGAGAAAACAGCGTATATCCTTCTTTTATGTATCGCTTCTTTTAACTGTTCCATCGTGGGCGGTTTTCTCTTGCAATCGATATTTTTCATAGTCTCTTGCAAAGTATGCAGATAAAGTTTCAGAAAATCATCGTCGTTGTCGTACTTTACGTGAAATTCTGGACAAATGTTCAAAAAGTACAACAGATCGATAACTGGAGACGTGTAAACAGCCATCTGATAATCGACCTGGAAAATACTCTATGGTAAAACCAGAGAAAGGAAAAGAAAAATTCCGATTCTACGGCATAAGGAAGGCGATCCGGTGGCTTAGTTTTCATATGATAGAAGATCGTTTACCTCGAACTATTCTAAAACGTTAATGCGTATTTATTTTCCAAGTTTCTATATATCGACTCGACTATGACTAAGATAAGACGAACGTATCATATAAAACGCCACGTAAATTTTCATCGTCGCCCTCTTAATTTCTCCTGATACATTTCTTTATAGTAGACCTATTTATCGTTAGTCGATGAAAATAAAATATATCGGCAACTTGTCGATATACTATTTACGTTTCTTATATGTTTTATACTTCTGTCGTGACTGCGTCTTTTTTACAAGAGAGTACAACACCGTGTATGTTGTAATGGAACACGTATTACCAATAAGACTTCAATAGGTTGGCCTTTCTCGTTTTCTCGAAACATTAGATTATTTATCCAACAATCTCCGTGATTTAGTACGCAGAATTCATCCACGTCGTAATTATACGCATCGATACAACGCGTTCCGATAGTTGGTGACAATTTGATCAGCTTATTCGCCGCACTCGTGTATTTTTCGCTCGACCATCTTTGTATTTCGTTAGCTATTCGTAGAAGGCTTACTTCCATCATTCGTATAAAAGCTTTCGGACATTTGGTCGACACAATGCCAGTATCTATAAAAGATTCAATTATCTGTGGATCCTGAAAAATTCACTCGAATTAATATCACGTAAAAATTGACGAGATTTCAGACATGCGGGAGAAATAATTTATCAAAGACGTAACCATTAGTTACGACAAGTAACTGAGTAACAAGTAACGAAAAATATACCGATTCGCTGCTATCGACGATTAATATAAAATTATTTCGCGTGATCCACCCTGAGGTTAAACGACGGATGATCTTTGTACGTAGCTACCAGAAATAGTTACGAACGCGGAGACCTGTAATTTTAAATGACGATCGAATACACCGACGTAGAAATACGATCTAACGCAACGGATAATGCTAATCGCCTCGCTTAAGAGTTTAAAATTTAAAGAATTTTAAAAGAGTTTAAAAGTGAAATGTGATAAACGAGTTTAAGAAGTCTAATTTGTTTAAACGGAAAGTTTAGTAGAAGCGCACTGGTTCTCCCCTCCCTGGCTGTTTCTTTGTTCGCATAATCGAAAACAATGTCCATATAACTGGACTTTGCTATTCGTTTGTTTGAATACAAGGTTTCGGTAAAACTAACGAAAGAAGCTTCGACAAAATATAAGGAGAACATAAACAAACAAGTCTTTCCGTCCCTTTTATACCATAAGTTCCACAACGTTAAAATTGAAATATCTTTAATATTATCTTATTTTAGGAGATTTAAAGTTTATTCAGTCCAAGAATACAGTTTTAGGTACATATTCACAATAAACGGTGAATTTTTGTAATGATATGTTAGGCAAAGGTACCGATACGCGGCGGTACGACGTAGCCATGCTGTATTATGTACATTTTTCGTTGTATAATACAATTTTTGGGTTTAAGTCACTGGGGAGCGGAGCTTTTTTATGTATTTTTTTTTTCTGTCCTGAAAACTTGGTTTAATATTATCTTATCTTCAGAATTGATCGATCATCCGAGGATAAAACTACGGGTATGTTTGTTTCGCGTAAAAGCTACCGCCACGTTCGATTTCATTGAAATCCGCGAGAACCAGGTCTGAAGCTTCCCTTGTGAGTTCAACGAGCTGAGATTTGTAAATACTCAGTCCGAAAACATTAATTCGTTACGTCACACGTATCACAAGTAGAATCGGATAATAGGCGTTCAGGAACGCACACATTGTCGGTAAACTATAGTATAGACATTACAGTGTGTAATGACATGTGTGTAAAAATATGTAAATAAAAAGTAAATATAAAAAACATCAAAGCCTGACTCTAAACCTCCGGATCGGTGGAGATTTGTAAAAAGAAGTTCGTGGAAAGTTGCCCTCGAACGCTATAACTTCAGTGTCACATTTCTTTCTATTCATCGTGCCGTAAACTACTCATCGCGAGAATAAAAAGTCTCAAAGGAACAAAGTCGACTCCGTACCAATTGACGTAAAGACGAACGAGTTAATTATAGCTTCTACTCTCGTGCCTATTTACCACCGTCGGACTTACATAAAGATAGTTCGCTGCAACGCGAACCGTGCTTTTCGAAACGTGTGTTATTTACAAATAGAAGCAGTTTCTCGAGTAGTGTATCATCCTCGATCGACAAAATAAGGGAATTTCCGCCGTCAGAAATCCGCAAGAGTCGAAAGATTTAATAGAAGAGGCTCGGCAATTAACACGTGGGCAGGAATTACTGGAAATCATATTATCGGCCTCGTTTATTTGCTTACGTCGATAACAACGCATTTACAATTTGTACGCTCTCATCTCTTAGACGAAATTAATGGCGCGTAGTGGTATTCCATCTCGCCATAATCGGCCAATTTTTGAATCTCGGATCACCGTGAATAGGACGCAGATGTGGTCCGCACGTGTGACGGCAGTGAATGTGGAAAATTTTAAACTAGTAAATCATGCTCGAAGTGAATTGCGCACGAACATTTTTTCACAGATGCTGCATAAATCCAGAATCACGATACGATGATCTTTACGCTTGATTTTTAAGCAACGTTTAGATACAGCTTAGAACGTAACGTGCGATCCGTACCTTTTCGAGAACTGCGACAGATCCAGCGTGTAATCTCGCGAGTTGTTGTATGACTAAACGGCAGTGTTCGAACGACAATCCTTTCTGACGATCCTTCATAATGAATCCTCTGTTTATCAAGTTTTCCATAACAAGAATGCGAGGATCGTCGAAACCGCATAATAAATTTGGACCGAGTTGATGATAAACGAATTCCTTCATCTTGGGTAGAACGTCACGCAGAACTTTCAATTCGATCAGAAACAGATTTTGTTGACGAACGATGTCGCGCGACAGTTCCCTCAGAGGTTCGGCTTTAATAACCAAACTGATCGATCTTTCCGACTTCGTTTCCTCTTTCTTTTTGATCGAAGAAGCTGTATATCTGATGTGCGCTTTATACAGATCACTAAGAAAGTTTAATCCTTTTTCTGACATACAGTTTAGCTGGATCTCCAAAACTCTAACAGTTTCATCCGATAACTTGTTTCGAAGGGCTTTCTCGATGATGGCCTCATCGATTTTCAAAGGACTTACTTCCATTCTGAAAATATTATACTATAATATACTATACAATATGTACAGGGTGATCGGTAACTGATGGTACGAGCGGAAAGGGGGTGATTCTACGCGAAAAAAGAAGTCGAAAATATAGAATAAAAATTGTTCGTTCGAGGCTTTGTTTTCGAGAAAATCCACTTTGAATTTCCGCTCGGTACGCGTGCACTTTATCGCGGCTCGTTATAACGAATCTCACTGTAGATCGTTGTCTTGATGGAAAAATTAAAAAAAAAATTTTTATTCTACATTTTCGACTTCTTTTTTCGCTTAGAATCACCCCCTTCCGCTTGTACCACCAGTTACCAACCACCCTGTATATATTTCTTTCCGAATGTACGGTTGAATGCAATATAAAACCTACGTCGATACTGGGATACCTGGATTTTATTTTTGTAAAATATTAAATAGCGTTTATCGTGATACTTGCGAAATTATATTTGCTGTCATAATAGTATATCTAATAATCTAGAAGAGATTATTAGATTATTAGATTCCGCGATCTTATTTACTTTACTTATATTTTTATTACGTTCCTCCGGCATTTATTGCATTTATTGCATTCATCGCGTGTCTTTGAAACGCTACATTATACAATGCTCCCTTTCTCTACGCTCTACGCTCTGCCTTTCTCTTTCAACGAGAGACATAATCGTTGCAAACGTATCGTTCACAAGCGTCACGTTTTCCACGACTCAAGCATCGCATACTATCTCTATCACGATTAATAAATTTAACTTTGTAAAAATGTACCGAACCCTTCGACTCTATGATTCGCTTCGAATCTGCCATTCTAAAGTGCATCTTTTACTATGCTTACTTTTTTGTTATAAAATACAACTCGACATACCTGGCGTTATATTAACAACTCTTTCCATGAAGCTTTTCTTAATGTGTCTTAATGGTGTAGTAAGAGAAACTATGTCATCGAGATATCAGTCAAAGAACTAACGATAAAAATAAACAAAAAGAAGTCAAATTCCAAAGAAAGAGAAGATACTGTAAGAACGCGGGTCAACCAGAAACTAAACGCTGCAGAAGAGATCCGATACTTTTATACCGGAAAGGAATGGAGTGTAAGCGAACGCATATGTGTGTGTGCATATGTTTAACAAGGAGAAATGAGGTATACATATAGCTCCAATTCAATGATGTATGCCAGTGACGAGTTTCGAAATCAAATGACGCTGCTAAGAAGCGAACAAAAGGTTGCTTCGAGTGCATGTATAGCGAGTGGTAAAAAACATTCAAACAGTAGTTTATTTCTCTCGCTGACGTACAATTTTTCCACGAACCTCTACCATGGATCTTATTTGTCCATAAAATTCTTTGGCATAATTGCGCAAGTATCTTTTTTTTTTTTTTTGTTAAAATTCGTAGCAACTATCTTCAGTTTCTATCGAATCTTATCGAGTTTGTTAGTTTCTGTCGAATCTTGTCGAGTTCGATGGCGATTCTTGGCTGTTTAATCGTACAAGGAATGGCAAATGTTAATAAAAATCAGATCCTATCGGAAATTTAATAAAACGTGCGTCGAGTTTTTCGATAGAAACTATTAAAAACGAAATACCGTGTCAGATATAAGAGCACATAGTCACATAAAACTCACGCTCGATGCTGAACAATCACTCCTTTTATGTTCGCATACACCAACTTCTTACACCAACTTCTAACCTTTCGTCTTGTTATTTCTGTACTGTATATTTTTCATTTTCTGCGAGTATTTTGGTCTGATGTTACCTTAGTTTATAAACATACCTAAGTTTATAAACATTCGGTACACTTTCACTCGATGTTTGCTGTTTCATATAGAATTATTCTCCTCGAGCAAATGCTTTACATCGTCCGTTATAAAAATACACGTATAACTTGTACGTAGGAACATAGTATCCCATCGAATTATTCGCCTTGAAAAGAAGTTGCAAAATCTTCTCGTAACGTCAACAAAATACCAAGCACAAAAACATGGATGAAAGTTTAATTAACACCTTCTATCGATTATTGTTCGTTTTTTTTTCAAATTTAAAGTACACTTTACATTACCTCGACGTTGCAAATATTCGTTTTCTAACTATTCCCTCTGGCAGCGACGTTCGAACGTGAAAGAGCGACCGTCTAATGCGTAGCTTTCACGTCCGTGTGCTACAATAATTGCCAACACTCTACGTCTGATCTCTTATAGGCTCAACGTACTAGTGATACATACACGCTACGTGCTTGTACAAATATGACAGAGCTACCATTTTTCTCCGATCGCCCACGATCATCAAGAATGATTCAAGAGCTCGAAAATACGTACGAAGTTAATTATGTACATACACATAGAGTTTTACTAATTCACGCTGTATAAAAGTATGAGAATTAGTTGCTTATGATAGTATTCTCTATGACTCAACAGGGCGAAGGCCATACTTAAATTTAAATCGTAATTGATCGATATTAGATCGGTTGAACTTTATCTGTTTTAATACCAAAGTACAGTAGGACGCTGCATAACGCGATTTCGGAAGTAATAACGAGAGTGAAATACTTCTTGAGGAAACAGTATCGAAAAGAGCATTTGCAATCGAAGAACATATAGGTTCTGAGATTGAAAGAATTCAATAAAGAAAGAAATAGTATCAGTTCCCGAGAAACAATTTGCTGACACTTCATTTTTAGCTATTGTAAAAAATATACGTTTTACGTTAATTCATGTTTCTTCATTGTACGATCGAGTTGCGTTTAACCATAACGATTTTTTAAGTTAGATATTCGCTTATTGCGTATCCTCGTGTCGTAACTGATGTAAATTCGTATCCTATGTCAGCAGTTTTTATTTTATATACAGGGTGATTGGTAACTGATGGTACGAGCGGAAAGGGGGCGATTCTACGCGAAAAAAGAAGTCGAGAATATAGAATAAAAATTGTTCGTTCGAGGCTTTGTTTTCGAGAAAATCGACTTTGAATTTCCGCTCGGTACGCGTGCACTTTATCGCGTCTCGTTATAACGGATCTCACTGTAGATCGTTGTCTCGATGGAAAAATTAAAAAAAAAAATTTGTATTCTATATATTCGACTTCAAGTTAGTAACTTGCTAAATAAATGGAAAAGATGACTAGCTTAATTTTTTTTTTCGAGACAACGATCTACAGTGAGATCCGTTATAACGTACAGTACGCGTACCGAGCGAAAATTCAAAGTCGATTTTCTCGAAAACAAAGCCTCGAACGAACAATTTTTATTCTATATTCTCGACTTCTTTTTTCGCGTAGAATCGCCCCCTTTCCGCTCGTACCATCAGTTACCAATCACCCTGTATATAAAATAAAAACTGCTGACATAGGATACGATACACGCTTTGCTTATACCTTCACACATTTTTAGGTGGAGGAAGAATTAACTCTGGAAACTGTTACATATTCTTTTTTTTTTTTTTAGGAAAGACGAAGAAACGAAGGAAAAGCTATGGTTAGGTCCGATCAGAGCAGCCTCACAAATCATTCACAATGCCAAAACTTTCAAACCTTGAGGCAGCCCAGGTCCTATCGTATAACTTTTATAGAGGGCCACAAAACAGCTACCGTATCTCTCATCTTGCCATCGCTTTTTTTTCTTTTTCCTTCGTTTCCATTAAATTTTTGGGAACCCAACATTTTTATGGCACATGCGGTAAGCCAAGAGTTGTTTCCTCGGTTACCGCATTTCCACGACCAGAAAACTTTTCGATGTACCTCGAAAAATTTGGAAACCTCTGCAAAAATAATAAATCACGTTCACTCCTTTTTCTCGTACCTTGTTTTTATTTTTTACGAACGCCTACACCTTGTTCAAACAACCACTAGCCGGTTATGATTTCAAATAGGAACCAAACCTCCGAGGTTTACGTCTAAGAAACGTATACGTCTAAGAAAGTCGACATTTTTCATTCTTTTCCAACATTTCCCTTTATTTTATCCTTAGATCGTAGTCGAAGAAACCTAATTTCATATACTAACTGTTACATCAGTCGTTTATTTATTCACTATCGCACGTTTGCTTGGATATTCTTCCAAACGTCGCGTCGATTTGTTTACTCTTCCATTAATATGTATTGTTGAGGTATGTATAATGTGTTTCTGTGCTGAACTAGATTAAAGGCGTAATAGAGATACTTGTATGTGAATATCAGTATGTGGAAGTATGTGTGTTCGAAGCGTCTCGAAAACAAATGAATGTAAACTCTTCAGTCGGTTAAGAGTCGTCGAAGAGTCGGTTTACAGTCGGGTATAGAAGAAAGTGCTGAGACGCGTGCATGCGTGTATCGTTTTGTCCATGAAATAAATATATCATTGTTTTAATATTAATCGTCAATATAAATTTAGTGTTCCTATAACATTATTTCGGCCTCAAAGATCCACAATTTTCAACATGTATATTATTATAGTATGTAACGTTTTAAACCTTGTTAATAATGATATAATTAACAAAAGCGAAAAAGTAAAATAGGTATAAGAAATATGTTTTACCAAGTTTTATAAAATTTTCTAAAGTTCAAATAAGCATAGCGTAGCGGGTACACGAACGTTTCAAGCTTTACATATATATTAAATAGCGTGTACGTGAGTATTCATGAAAAACATACGTTGAAAGATCATTCATTTTTAAAAGATAATCGTCAATCGAAAGTCTTACAGAACGAAATCGTGTTTCATTTAACAGCAAAGGTAGTTTCATACCTGTTGTACACGTATTTCGCGTCGTGTCCTCTATGAACGAATGTGGTAGCCAACGGAAGTTTGAAGAAACGATAATACCTTACTCATATTATAAATTTGTTTCATTTAAACGAATTTCTCTCATAGAAGTAACTTCTCGTTCGATCGAATACTTCTTCCGTTGGATATTAGCACGTTCGTTATTTTTATCTGTTTTCAGTTATGCGAACGACATTTTTCCCAAAGAGCTAAAGCGAAGTAAGAGCTAAAGAAGCAACCTGATAGGAAAAACGTTTTCACCGGTGTCATCGATTACTATGGCCTACTAATAGCGATGTACAGTAGAAGGGTAAAGAGATGCAAAGTTGTCAAACTTTCACAAAGGTGGTGGCAAAGCAATGGACAGGAACTAAGGGAAGAAAAGAAGAGAAAGGAAGAAAAGGGGAAGAGAGAATAAGATGCGCATCCGTGGCATGCTGTGAGGCAGTACGAGGTAGTCCAGCGCGATGTCTATTGGCGTGGTGCGACGCGATATGGCACGGCGTGGCGTGGCGTGGCGTGGCATGGCATG